TTGAAATATCACTTCAGGATTTTTTGGTGCAAACTGAGTCACAGATGTGTATGGTATATCTCTATCACTGATCTGTCATATACACATTGTCTTTCTGGGCTGTTTCTGGCCTCTTAAATATTTATTCATGACCAAATTGATCTCTGTATAGCATTGAAGTTAAAGGTGTAACATTGTCCACTCCATGAATGCTTGAATAGTGTGGAATGATAAAATCAGAGTTAAATTTAAAAGAATGACTGAAGAAATAATTGTATTTCAATAAATTTATGTTCAAATTCATCAAAGAGTGTTTTTATCTTAGGAAGGAGTGAAATTGATGAATTCCACAGGCCGACAAAGGACAGTCGTGCATTGGTGTGTGGCAGCAGTAGCTCCCACTACATCAGGAAAATCACGGGCACCTGATTTTGCCAGATAGTATTTGTCACCTCAAAACAATGTGGCACTGCTTTGACCCCTTTAGTAAAGTTATAGATAATTTTGAAGATGCTGTGTAAAGTAGGCAAAATGTGAGCCTTGGATAATTGGTCTGGCAATTGTGATAGCCTAGTTACACAAAGAGGCAAACAGATAGAATTCTGGCAGCCAATGACAAAGGAGGATAATTTTCAACCGGCTTTCCAGACCTCCTACCATAACTTGCCAATATTGTTCAACTGTTTACAAGGAGGATATAAATATTCTACTACCAGGCCAACAACAAGGACTTATGACAAGAGAGAATAATTTCCAACCCATTTTCCAGACTTCCTACAATAACTGGCCAATACTCTATAATTCTGACAGCATGGTTACAAAAAGAGGCCAACTATTAAAATGGTGGCAGGCTCATAACAAAAGAGGATAATTTTCAACATACCTTCCAGACATCCTACAAAACTTTGCCAATTTTCTGTAATCCTGAAAACCTGGTTACAAAGAGGACATAAGTATTTCAGCACTAGACCAACAAAGAGAATCGTGAAGGACACATGACAAGAGAGAATAACTTTCAACCGACTTTGTAGATCTCCTACAATAATTTGCCAATATTCTATAATATTGAAAACCTGGTTACAGAGAAGATATAAGTACTTCAGCACTAGGCCATCAAAAAGAATTGTGAAGGGCACACAACAAGAGACAATAATGTTCAACCTACTTTGTAGACCTCCTACAATAACTTGCCAATGTTCTATAACTCTGGAAACCTGGTACAGGAAGATATAAATATTTCAGCTCTAGGACAACAAAAAGAATTGTGTTTCAACCTAAGCAACACCCAATGATTCTGATAGCATGGTTACAAAAAGAGGCCAACTACTAGAATTGTGGTAGACCTATAACAAAAGAGAATAAAATTTAACCTACTTTCCAAATGACTTGCCAATATTCTATTCTGTACACTTGATTGCAGAGAAGATATTAATATTACAGCAAACTTTTGGCCTGGGCACGGGCATACCACATATATTCATCTTGCAGGGAGGATTTTTGGAGATTTTCAGAGAAGGATGGCAGTATTGAACAGCAGAGACAGGAAAACCTGTTGATCTGGCATTTGTAACAACGTGACATGATCCATCGAGGATGACTTATTAGTTATGTTTAGTCTCTCATAGATTTAGATGGATATCCTTTTGTAACATTTGTAACAAAGGACCCATGAAAAAATAAAATAAAATTTGGAACTACCTCAACCTAATTTGTGATGATACAGTATATAAGTCGCCATGCTTCCAAATAAATATGGTGACCTGATTGCAAGCAGGGTGCTGCGCATATAGCACTTGCCATGGCTGGAAGAGGGAGGTGAATTGGAGGCGAAGAGCCTTGTTGAAGACAAAGTGTGCAAGTGGGAATCAACGCTTATGCCCGGTTAACGTGTTGCAAAGACGCTTTCACCTCGTGGCATTTGAGCAGTGGGAGGTGGGTAGACACGCCAAAATGGGGATGGCAAGTGGTGGCGAGGGGAATTGGGGGATACTTATGGGTGACACACCTCAGGCTGAGCCTGATGATGGTGGATCGCTGTCGTGACTTGGTCGTGACTGAGCGCGCTGAGAGTAAGAAGGAACCCGGCCACCAATCACTTCCACTCGCCCGCCTTCCTTCTAGTTTCATCTTTCACCTCCTGCCATTTCCAATGAAGTATTCTGTGCCGGTTGAACAGCTTTCCTTCTTCCACCAACACACAAGATATGGTGGTCTAGCGCCATGTTCTTTGTTCCCGTGCACCTCGCCGCTCTGGCTACAACACAATATGGGGCCAGCGCGCTATGCTTTTTTCACCCTTTCTACTCAGGCATTCTGCATGTCTCTCCCTGTCCGTGTGGTGTTGGCAATTCTGGGGTCATCAGCGTTCCAGCCATCCATCGGGTTTGTTTGATAGATCTCATGTGATAATGGGCATAAAGTGGAATATCTGAAGATGTTGGAGTAACTCTGATGAAGTTCTGCGTGGTCGTGCCCAGTGTGAATTCGTCCACCACTGTTTTCCTTATGCACACCTGGGACTGAGTTGGAGACATAAGTCTAGCACAATCGAGCATTTCAAGGGAACAGCGCAGCTTAAAGACGAGGATGAGCGAACGTTGCAAAAAAAAAGTGAAGGCCACCGTTGTTTGTGATGGCCATGAAAGCTACGTAACAGGAGCCAACTTATTTCAATGCTGGGCATAGATACAAAACTTTGATTGTGACTCTGCTTGACTTGTAGCTGAAAAAGGCGGCGTTGTTCTGAACAGAGCCACAATATTAAAAAAAAGGAATCTTGTCCTAGTCATCATACTCTGACTCAGAGCCAAAAGATTCTGAACCGGGGTCTGAGTCCCTAGCATGAGACATATCATAATCATCGTCTGATCCATACCCATCATCAAGATCATCCTCATCATCATTTGAAGAGTCATCGTGATGGTCAGAATTTGCCAGCTGGTCCTCAACTTCAACTTCATCACCCAACTCCAGACTGTGAGGTTGATGGTCAATGTTCTCAACAACCTCCAAGTTTGAGTTATGGCCAGCATCGCTCCCAATGACATGTGAATGGAGGACCCCATTGTTACTGCCGACATGGCCAATTCCGAGGCCAACATGATAGCGCATCAACGTATCTCGATCTGCAAATCTGGCAAGCATGAAGTTAGATTCAATAACTCTATGTGAAATGTGGTGCATGACGTACCGGCCAATATAATATTGGCAAAAGTCTGTAGAATCCCGGGCGCAGACTGAGAGACCCTGGCTGTCGGGATACCGCACCCCAAGCGAAAACACTGGAATGACGTGACATGCCCGAACAACATCATTAGGATCTAGGAACCCGAACGAAGACTCATCAGCCATGGGTGGAAACGAGATGCGTTCTAGTCTGTGTGCTCGCCAACTGCCAGGTGAGACCCTTCTGAACCACCTAACCCACAAGAAGTTGAATCTTTGAGGGGTGTAGTCTGGCGTCGCAGCGCCAGTTTGGACCACATTGACATGACAAATCCCCAAAACCCTTGCGTATATGAAGGCCAATGACTCATCAGAATCATCAGTACCAGAACTGTCACTCTTTGACAAAACCATTATATCTCGGCGCTCAGTGTTCACGTTGATGGTGTCTTGGGCCCGGCGAATGTCATATGTTGTGTAATTGATGCACATGGTATTGTGAAAGTAGAGGCGATTAAACTTGAAAAGCACATTGTCGAGTGTCCGGGGATCTACAGTGTGCAGGGGAGCTTGAACTTGATTCAGGTAGGCCAGATCTGATGGCACTCTGGCAGCTTGGATGCGAGGGAGCAAATGTGTTTTGAGTTTTGGGAGAAAATTCTGAGATGTGGTGCTTAGTAACGTTTTGCTTTTAAGCGGTTGGGTAAAAGTTCACCTTTGTGGCAGGGTCATCAACGCGAGTCCGAAGAAACGAGCCAATATCTTCATAGAGAGCTTCGGATTTTCCGATGTGATGGTGATCCTTGGCCGACCTGTTCAATCTCTCCTTATTAGTGTGAGATAGGGGTGAAGTTGGAAAGTAATTTCTTCTGAGGCGCCGCAAACGGGTTTGGCGCCGTTCAATCTGCGTCAATTGCTTGATAAAAAGCTTTTTGTCGGTCCTTCGATACCTCGCCTTCGGAGTTCGGTGTTCCAATTCTCCCTGGTAAAGACTTGTAAACCATAATGCCAGCAATGAATATATAACCGATGTCATGGCTCACGGGCTCAGTGCTATACGAATCCGTTGTCCCTCTTTCTCGAATTTCATTGACGTAGTCTCCAAGCGAGTGGTGCTTGTAGGTGTCTATGTTATACTTTTTGATACGTGGTCCAGTTTGGCCTGCATTGCTTAGATCGACACCTCGTGCAGCGACGCCATCAGCTTTTGACTGTTTGGCAGCTCTGCGATGTCGTGCCTCCAGTTCACGAGGGAGTTCGCGAGTTTTGTAGGAGGGGCAAACAATGCTTGAAAACTCACGTAACGAGCTTCCAATTTCAGTTGTCAGATCATCAAGCAGCTGAAGTGTTGGGTCGGAGTGCATGCGAAGTTTAGCAAGCCCATGCCAGTGAGCGCAAATGAATAATAAGCGCATGACTGAAGTGTGATTGTCGCCAGTCAGTAAGCCGTCAAACACGGGCAATGCACACTGGGGATGCATTAAGAAAGTTGAAATCACAGGGTTCAACTATTAGAGGTGGCTGACTTGCAAAATATCCTCAAAGTCGCGAGCGGCCAACTTCTTCATTTGAGAAGTGTTGGAAGAAAACTTTCGAATGGTGCCCTTGCCGAAGGTTGGGATTTGTCGATATCTTTTACATTTGCGTTCAATACTCTAGGGCACGGTACAAACTTTGGAGGGGAAACTTACCTTCGGTCAAGTTCATTTAGCAAATCTGGATTGATTGCTGCCAGGATACGGAGAAGGTGAGTGAATAATGCTTTCCACACTCCCAGTTCAAATTCATGCAGCAAATCAACGGCCAGCATTTGAAAAAAATTGAATCCAAGATGACTTAAGTTGTCGGAAAATGCATTCTTTGGTTGCGAATAAGATGACACTAACGCAGCTGCAGTTTATGGACTTACTTGGTTGGGGACCAAAGACGCCTCTTTTAAAATCCTTTCTACAGCGGCACCATTTACCCGATTGTTTTCTTTGTAGATCAGATTCCTCGCCTTGGCAATGTTACGGCGCCGCCCCACGTCATCCACTCTTGCTGAAGACTTCCTTTTTTGACGATCTTCTGCAGATCCCAACTTGCTAATCTCCATCTTAGGGACTAGGCAACGCGGGCAAGGGCAGGCTCCTTTGTCGCGAATACTAGCTAAAAGGATCCTAGGAAGGTGTTAGATCAAGCTTCTCCAACCAAACAGGTAACACTCACTTTTCTGGATAATCTGCGGAATATGTGAAGATACGCGGATAAAACCGTCGAGAGATACCATCGCCACATCTGATAACAATCCCATGCTCCCATGCATACGCAAATTCATCATCGATGAGAGCTTTCATCTGTTCGTGAAAGAATTCCCGCCCACAATGTGTGTAAAATTGACTTGTCGGTCCTTTCCCACCGGTAAACTTTGAAGCAAAGTCATTAAAGGAAGGGGGTAGCTGGAAGACTGTTTAGAAAGACATGGTAATGAGATGGGATATAGAAATCTACCTTCTCGAGGTATGCAACATGGTTGCAGGATTTGAAGCTTGGTTTTCCGCGACGATATTTGGACTCATTACCGAAGTATACGTATACAGGCCAGAGTTTTGTGTTACCGAAAGATGTGAGGTGTGTAGCATCTGACCAAAACATGAATGCACATATGACGCGAGGCAACTCGCAGCCCGCCTCACGCGGAGAGCTAAGGAGCTCTGTGTGAGCCCGAAGAAAGGCCCGTGAGGTGTATACCTCGCCATATACACAGCTTTCTTTCTTACCCGAACCTGTGCGTGTCTGCCATAGGAGCTTGTACGGTTCAATGTGAAAATGACAGAAGTAATGGGGATCGGAGACTCGTTCCTTCATCACGGCAACCAGTGAACGATGATACAAGTGGGCACCTTCGTATATCCTTGCACCAGGGTGTGTCGCCCCAGTGTGAAAAGGCACGCTGATCTTAATCTGCGACACACGCCACCCTTCATCAGCAGCATCCACCCAGTCTTCATCGTCGTCAGCTTGGTTTTCCCCAAGAACAGCATTGATATGATCCCACTTGTTGTGAAGGATATCGGCCGGTACAAACTGAGGGTCCGCGATGATACGGACGAGGTTTTGGAATGTAGCCTGAGTTTTCTGAGTTCCATCATTCCAATACCAATCACCGAGACGAAAAGAACTGTAATTTGGATATGGAAAGAAGTCCTGTGGGGGTGCTGCTGCCCCAGGAGGCGAAGGTGACGATGTTTCGGAGATGCGAGTGCAAAGATCTTCAAATTGGACATGTTCTTCTGGGTCGTGCTGAGGGAATTCGCCCCCAACATACACGCGAACAAGGCCAAAAATATTGCTGGGTGAACGCAGGATAAGCTGTGACATAGATGTTTGAACGAGGCTTTTGCTTGCCCCCACCTCAAAGGAGTCAGAATGCTCCGAGGACCTTCTGAGATCATGGGGCGGCAGGGAGGGAGCTGGGCAAGGCAAGATATCATGATAGCGTGCTGGCTGCGGGACATCTCTGCGTGCACCCTTTCGAAGTGCAATAGGCATGTCAGAAGGCACAACATCAACATCAGATACAACAGAGTCGTCGCCTATGGCATGCTGGAAGTTCTCGCTCGTTTCCGTTTTGTGGCTGCCATGTAGAAGTGTTGTGCAACCCTGAGATCTGGTATTACTAGAGGAAGGGGCAGTGATAAATGCCAACGACTTACCTGGGTCTCGACAGCTGTCTTTTGGCTACGCTGCTGCTTTCGAATCTCCCAGAGTTCTTTAGCCTTCGTAAGACCTCTGGCCACACGGTTCTTCACCACCTTGCAAGAACGCAGATGATTGTTGAAGTTGTTGGTTTGAGAAAATGACCTCCCACACCTGCAAGTATTTGCAGGCAGCTCCGCAGTTATTACAGAAAGACCTCGATGTGATTCCATCTGGGATGCCGGCGCCTAGGCAGACTTTTCCTCTCTGTAAACTGTTGGAAGTGGATTATATACTAACTTGAATAGAACGAACCCACCCAGTGAGCCTTCGACTCGGACTCCGTGTGACTACCGTCAGTCGAGTCAGATGCAGCTGATCTCTCGCATTATCATTGTCGTCAACATGACTCGGACTTGGCAGCACCGTGACATAAGTTTCCAGTAACCTTCCTCAAGTCTTCGGAACTTCCACGCATTTCGCCCGATAACACAACTTTAGTGAACACGATGCATCCAAATAAAGCTACCACTTTCGATTATTTTTTCCGCTGAAATATCTGCTGTATCGAATTACCGGCGTCTCGAGGTCGGGGGAAGAGAAATTACGACTCGTCCTGGAGTTTACGTAAGGAATCGTTCTTATACAGACCCGTTTTTTTGTCACACTATTCTTTGAGAGCTATAGACAAACAGTACCAAACAGATGTCAACTCATCTGTGCAGTGTTCTTCTGCATCTCAGGCTGCTGAGGGCTTTACGGTCGTTTTGTTCGTGCCGTTGTTGTACTTTTAGAGGTACTTAGTTTTTTGTTATATGATATGTATTATGAATAGGGAATGTGATACTTGTACTACTCCTCATTTGCTCCTCATACCATCATCGGCATAAATCGGATTGGAGTTCAGTCCTTGGTAAGTAAGCGAGGGAAAATTTCGACGTGGCAAACTGACCTGTAGGAATTTATCAAGCAGCACTACTGCCTTGGGTTTTGTTTGGAGTAAGAACGACGAAGCTGTGTGAGGAGAGCATCATGCGGGGGGGCGGGAGGACCCACAATTGCCGGTTGCAAAGTACATAGAGATTTGAATGGTGTGTCGCGAGTCTGAAGAGACGTGGAAGAGAGGCGAGATGCACAGGAGTTCGGCCGTAGGGGTGTGTGAACGCCTGGAACATGTTGAGGCAGTGAACCAATTACTTGTGGCGGGGAAGAGGGAGCAAGAGGGGAGACAGCCGGTGATGGCAGTGGAGACGGCGATGATGCTCTCAATTCAGGTGGTGGAATTTCATCATCTGGTAGGCTCTCAGTGGGGTTTTCGGCACCGTTTTCTACAGAGGCTTGTGCAAGTAGACGAGATAATGACGAAGGTCGAGCGGTTGGTGACGAGTTGGCCCGAGTCCGTACAGGGAATAGATGGGAGTTTGCAGGGCGTGTGTCTTGAACTTCAAGCTCTGGTGGGGGTACTGCTTTGTTTCCAAGTCTACCATTTGCTGGAGAACCTGAAGAATCGTTCTCAGATGTTGCCTTTCTTCCTGAAGCCCAGCGTTTATTGCCACTCGGCTGCGCCCAGTCTTCAACTTCAAGCATGTAATACTTTACACCCTCACCAAGACCGTAGGGATTGCTAGTTTGATCCTAACGAGGCTTAGCTCAGAGTCTGAAATGTAAAATATATATCCATAGAACATACCTGTTGATTGACCACCCATTCCGTGATGGAGGTGATCCAAGCAACAATCCATTCTCTTGTTTTGAGCCGCTCAGCTAGGTGACCTGTAGCTTGCAAGAAGTAATGCGGGAAGGAGACTACGAAATTAAATCAGAAAGGAGGAAAAAAAAAACGAAAAAAGAACCCACCATTGAACGCAGCCCAAGGTTTCGTGAATTTCGCGTAGGCAAAAACATCGCCAAATCCCCTTTCGCAAAATTACGAAACGAGATCTTTCCCTTCGCCCGCTCCCTATACTCCTTACACTGCTTCTGCCACTTCCGAATCGTCGACCCCGTCTTCGCAACAGCCTCCAAGAAAACATCATGATCCAACTCCCTCAATATCTCCAACGCAGCAGCAGGATCAGACGGGTCAATCGGCGACGGCTTGTCATGCTGCTGCCTAATCCGCAACAAACCAGGTGAGAAAGTCGTCGATTCCGCAAGCGTATTGGCATGTTTCGAAGCTGGGTGCGAAGACACAGCTTGCCCGGTTTGCAAGGCTTTCACATGCGAATTCCTGAAACAGATGGCAACGTCCAGGATTTGCGCTATCAGTCGATTACCATTCTCCATACGTTGGTCGAAATCGGATTGTGACGCCCGTCCGGCTTTCAAGTCATCACGGAGGATGCGCTCAACGTGTCGCGCCTCTCAAAGCTCATGCTCGACCCTCTGCAGCTCCTCTCGCAGCCCAGCCGCATCCGCATTAGCTACCTCGATATCAGCTTTAAGATTCTTCACCTCTCGCTCGAGACGCTCTTGGTAATTCTTGAGCTCGTGGAACTGACGTTCAAAAACAGCACGATCTCCATCCGCTTCTGCAATGTGATCCCGGATAATCTGATCGTGCTCAGTAGCCTGAAGCTTCAATAGCCGGTCCTTCTCCTGGCTAGTCGCCTTCAACACCTGTCGAACTTCCTCGCTCTCTGCCTGAGCAGCTTGGATTTGCAGTTCCAAGTTCTGTCCACGAGTACGCACGTCCTCCAGATTGCGCAAGTTTCTCGCTTGCTCTTCAGCAAGAACAGATATCTTGCTCTCATTCTGTGAAACGAGCTCCTTCATCTCATCAAATTCAGACTGCGCCTGCTCCAACTCCTGTCTCGACCTCTGAGCGGCCTTTGATTGCTCCGTGGCATCTGCGAGAGCTCTGGCAATGGCAATCCGCTGAGACTCAATGTCCGCTTGCAACTCGCTGTTTCTCGCTTCCGCGATCCGACGTGCGGTAACTTCCCCTTCCAACTCTGGGCACGAACTTGATGGACTTCTGGGAGCGTGTCCAGTTGCGGAACGTACATCAGAACCCGCGGAAGCTCCTTTTGCAGACGAGGAGGGGGGAGAGGATTATCCGGCACCTTCGAAGGGGCCAAATTGGGTACGTTGAGGATGAGGTGAGGTCGTTGATCGGGAGCTCGATGAGTTCGGGATAGGTGACGCCATTTTGCTTGTGGAGCGGCAAGACGCCTTGGGAATTTACTGGAGGGACTATAGGGCGGCTTTTCATCATGGTGCAGACTGCAAGGATGAGGGTAAGGCCAAGTGGCCTTGGGGAGATGAGCTTCTCACTTAGCCGCGGCCCAATTGGCGTGGTGGTGGATCTGTTTGGGCCAGCTGAGTTCAGATGGTTTTCAACGCTTGTCAAGGTATGTAGTCCGGGAGAAGGTGTAGATAGATGGCGTTGGCAGAACCCGTCGAATCTGAGGGTTGGCGAGCACGTTGTATACGCTTTCGTCAGGCACCGTCGGGGCCATTGACAGTGGTTGGCCAAAGATAGAAAGTGTCGCCGCTGCACGGAGCTTGACTACTTGGCGTTTCTGAGCATTGCGCATCCAATGTCTGGAAATGCCACAACGTAAACGAGATGGCTAGTGGCAATAGAATAATGGAAGATACCCACATCTTGAGAGGCTCCCGCACTTCTTCGATGTTCTGATCGCTGATCAGCAGAGATCCGCGGTCCGGGGCGACGCCGAGGAGGGCGTTGCGGTCAACTTCGTGCTCGATTGGACAGATTTGCGCGCCCTCGAGCTGGCTGGGCAACAAGGAAAGCACAGGCAGCGTGGAGTGGAAGACGGGCATTTTACTGGTGAGAGTGAGGGATGAAGGGAAAGTTAGCGAGGGGCAATATGGAAGGGAAAATGGTGTGACGCGAACGTTCGGTGCTCAGCTTTTGCAGCTCAACGGTCACTTTACTTCCTCCCCATTGATTAAGACTCGTCTGAACCTCGTCCTTCAAGAACCCTGCTCCGCCACTAGTTCACTCTTGCAACGCACTTAAACGATGAGGCCTTGCATACGTAGCGCATAGCATTTGAAAGGCCCAGCATCGGGCTGAGTTGACGATGGCACGGAGGCTGGATCTGATGTGGCGGAGACGTGAAGGTAAGCTTTGGCAAACGAGATGTGATCCGAAAGAATGAACGCGGTTGCGGTCAGCAACGCCGTAAATCTAAGTGTTGCGCCTTGCGAGAGGCGGATGGCGGAGGCGTCAGGTGCTATCACTGCGTACGCGGGTCGATAGGCGATTGACCGCAAAATTTAGAGACCACGTACCTCATTGGCAAGCCTTCGCAAACGCGATCACATTCCCTGGTAAGGCTCGGAAGCAGTGGATGAGAGCACCGTTGAATGATATGGTTCGATGAGACAGGAGCAGGGAATCGTGGGGCATTGTTGAGGGCGGGAAGGAAAGCCCGTTGCTCACAGTTCCAATCAAGTTCCAATTGTTTCTGACAAGGGCGCGGTGTTGTCGCCGCGTCGACAGGACCAACCAAACATTTACAAATTTTGAACTGAAAAGTGGACGTCCACTGCTCAGTTTAAAATTTGGTATTGACTGGGAAGAGCTTGATCGGCATCGTATTCGCCAGCACCATGATGATTTCAATCCAGAGAATCATGCCGAAAATGAAAATCCCTTTGTCATCAACCACCCCGACCACCTTTCTCATGTTGAGGTTCCAGATCTGCGTTGTCCGTTTGATGCTGAGCACCTTCTCATTTTTGGTGCAGAACTACAAAACATATCCACCATTCTGCCCACAGATATGCACTCGCATCGGCTAACTTGGATTCGCGCACTAGAACTAGCTACTGCTATGGCACAATAATGATGTAATAAACTGGCTACTGCTCTGCTTGTAAATGTTCGAAATGTTCATCTAATTCATCATCACTCTCTGCTAAAATCCTCATGGCATCTTGGTGGGACAGGACGCCAGCACGATATTTTTTCCAAACCGAGGGAAGCCTGTTAGAGGTGACAATGGCAATCCCTGTTTGCAAAAAGGCGGGATTGGGATCTGCTGGCCTGAGGTCTTGCAAACTGGTTCCATGAATGTCTTTAGGTCGCCACACAACTAGCGTATTTGCAGCTGCCTGAACTCGAATACGGTAGGTACTGATGTAGAAATGGCCACCAGCGTCGGATGGGTGATCTCTTCTAACTGTCCAAGAGATAGCGAATTTGTGAGGTTGGTGCTCAAAATGGGTTGATCTACCAAATGAGGATAAGTTAAAGGATGAAGAAGGTAAATCAAATAATGACCGGGAGTAATTTTGGCCACACACCCCAGCAGGGGGGGCTCTTTCGGCATTTCTGAAAATGAATTTGTCGTCGCCGATCTGGATTGAATAATCGCCAAAAGCACGTTGGTCACCATTACCAGCACTGCCTTCTGCAGCTCCTTTGCAGGGGTCCATCCGCGGCATGCAGCATTCATCGAAGAATTCATCGAAATCATTCATAACTTCATCTGGCAGGCTATTCCTGCACAGGTTCCAAAAAAGTGCAAATGCTGAGCTGGATCGGTCGTCCATGTCGTTGATGACATCACTGGGCAGTTTTCGATTCGTTACATTGCGAACCCAATCAAACTTCGGTGCACTCCGTGCACCAGCTGAGAATCCAACTTGGACGAGCGACCCAGGGTCCTCCATCTAAAGTGGATGATCAGGGGTGATTATAGAAAGTCAAAGAGATGCTCACCCGAACATTCTTTCGGTTCGAAACATTCTCTTGAACAATGTCGTCAACCACAGGAAGGACATCTTCGTTGGGGCAGAAATCTCTGTAGACACCGCAAACTAATGTGCCATTGCTGTCTCGAAATCGGCGACTTTCGTTGGGGCGCACGTCGTGGTCGATCAAGCTGGTGTTAACTTTCATCATTGGCAAATAGGGCCTCCGAGAGTCAGGTCTCCGGCCAGAAGTGAGATGCTTTTTCCATTTTTTCTTTATCGCATCAGTTTCATACATCCAGTGCTTGAGGGGGGGGTATGCTTTGCTTTTTGGGTATGTGGTGACGGTAGTCTCGGGAATGTTCGCAAAGTGAGCTGAGTTTGATTGGCGGGCTCGCTGGGTGAATCCCAAGCTTTGGCCAAAGCGCTTTTTGACATTTCGCGCACTGTTGTACTTGGCTTTGCGTGCAGAGTGGGCGGTTGCTAGAGACTTTGGAATGATGCAAATTTGGGAGGCGCAATAGTCCGCAAAATTGCGAAACCATTTGACACGGGATAGTTCATGTGGTGCGCCAGACCAGTTGTCTTCAATTACTGGCGAAATGCAAGTGACGAACTTGGTCTGGGAAGGTTCGTCGATGGCATTGGTGAATAGCCGAAGGGCTCTGGCATCTGATGCCACATGGGGTACAAGAATGCGAAGAACTTTTTTAACTTCAGGGCTTCTCATTTTCTGGGTGCGCAAATTCTAGTACTTGGTAGGTGAATTCGTAGTCGCTCACTCACCTGGTTTGCGGTTCGCGCGAGTTGTTGCTGGCTGCGTTGAGCGTGACACTAGGTGACCGCGATGAATGTGACGTGTCCTGCGACTCCCTTTCTGCCTTCAAGCCACTATCGCTCGCCAATTTCTCCATCTGCGGCTTCGCTGAGGCTTCAGCGCTGCGCGATAGGCACTCTGGTTTTGCTGAGTCCCTCCGTGGGTGTTTGCTTTGGCTCTGCTGCAGGTTTGGGGGTATCCCTTCTTCAGGTGGCTTCACTGAGGCTTCGGCGCTGCGCGGCAGGCACTCTGGTTTTGCCGAGTCCCTTCGTGAGTGTTTGCTCTGGTGATGCTGCAGATTTGGGGTGCCCAGCCCAATATTGGCTAGGTTGCTGGCAAAGGGGAAGCTAGAGGCTTTTGCTTTCACCGTAAGAAGTGCGATTTTGCCTGCCAGATTTTTGTTTGCTGACAATTTTCGAATGTAGGTTCTCATTTGCGCAACCTCTCTTTCTCCTGCCCTTGCATCGCTGATGCAAACTACCCCAAGACGGCCGCCCATGTGATTGATTTCAGTTCATGGGGCGCTGCAGCGGGATTGGCCTTCCGACTGCCAGGAGCTTCACTGGGTTTTGGGCTGCTCTCCTTCCCCTCGTCTTCCCGCCACTTTGCACCTATCCAACTATCCACCTCCTTGGCGATTGTGAATCGCATCGAGCGGCCACGCGCTCCTCTCAGCCAGCGCCGCAGCCATCGCCCGTGGCCGGCGCTGCGCCTTCAAACCCTGTGCTCAATCTACCACCAAACTATCACCAATTCACTCACAGACTCCGAATTCTGCTCCAAATACACCAGAGCTTCGCAATCGGCCTCTGGCTGCCGCCTCTGAATCTGCTGCTTGCTGCAGCGATGCAAGAATCCGCCAAGGAAGTGCCCCTTTGCACCGCGCCAACTCCTTCTCGTCTCTACAAGCATCCACCCTGTCTTCCGTCTCCGACTCTCCCTGCTTCATTCCTTTTGATCAATCAGCGGCGTCTGACCAGTAAAAACCAATTTCTCTGGCAATTCGCATCCGTTCCAAAGTCGCCAGAATTGCTAAGAGCAACTATGCTTCTGGCGGTCCACGCACGCGCGCACCAAAGTCTCATTCGCGTGCAGCCTCCGCCGCCTCAAGCGCATCCCATCCTCCCCACCAATCCCGCAATTCTATCCCGCCGCCGCAGCTACGCTGGCTGCTAACCCATATCATTTTGCAACAGTGGGAACAAGCCCTCATGGTGGCAGCGTCGGACTGCCTTTGCCACGACCTCCATCAAGCCTTTGAAGGCGCGGCGGAGGCCTTGCCGCTTTCTAGTTGCTCTCCTTTGCGGAGCCCAGGGGATCCACCCATTCTCGCCACATAATCTGCCTAGGTTGCGAAGAGGCGCATTCATTTTTCATCCCAGCAGACTTATGTTGCCGTGGTTCGCCTTTCGAGCTCGCAGCTCCCATGTTATCTATGCGCCTGCACTCATTGCTCGGCCTCTGCCTCATGAAGAAGACCAAATGCGCAAGAAGCCCTTGAAATGCGGCTCATGCAGATCAATCCTTTCCAGCGGGCCCATGCGAATGTTGGAGTTCTTGAGCGCCTGTTCTCGCCTATCTGCTGCCGCAGCTGCAGCCGAACCGCCAGTCTCTTCACCCTCTGCGCAGATTTCTTCCATCGCCCCATCTGCGCTCGTTCGCCCCTGCCTAGCTCCCGCTGCTCTCCAAGATATTATTTCTCCTATCGCCGCTTTGCCAACTTTTTGCCGACTAACAAAAGATTAACTACCCAAGGAGCCGAAAACCTTTGTTTTCGCATTCAAGCTTTGCAGCAATCCCAGCAGCAACAACAACGAAACTTGCGCGCTGCTGCTCTCCTTTCCTCTCTTTCTTTCGATTCGGGCTCGCCTCTTTCCTCTGCGCTATCCACCGGGGGCGAGGATTTACCCATTCCTGGACTCGTATGTGATACTCAACTGCATCCTACTTTCGAATTCACGCTGCCCCTTCAAGAGCCCCACAACTTCCGGGAAGTCTCTGCCTGGAGCCGCGTGCGCTTGACCATGACGAGCCCAAAGATGCCGCCGGCATCTTATGCGAGAGGCTCCCTAAAGCTAAACCGCCTTCTGCTGCTGAAAGTGCGCTCAAGGTTATGGCGAGTCGCTCGTGCGCTCCTGCGGTCGCAAGTAAATTCCTGAAGACTTTTAAATGAAAGCGTGCGTGTTTGTTAGCATATCTCCTTTCCTTCATCTCATCGACATTTAGATGCAGATTAGCAATGACAATGGGCCTGTTGAGCTTATGGGCGCCGGCCGCCATCATGCGCTTTTTCCGGTAGAAGTAAAGAGCAGTAATAGTTGCGCAGTGCTCAGCGCAGAGGGTTCACGCGGATACAATCGCTGAACACTGTGAATACATCCTTACGCATACTTGTTTCGAGACTGTTCTCTGCGGCCGAGTTGGTCTGCAACAGGTCTTTGGATTACAATTCATTTACAGCAGGTGTAAGTACAGTGAAGCAGGGATTTGCAGTAATGGCAGGAGGGTAGAGTGTGCGCAGAATGAGCGGCGGAATCATGTATCATTGAAGTCTTGTGGGCAATTCCACACCAGCTATGCGCGGCGGGGTCGCCTTATTGCAAAATTTCGGCTAAGACTCTTCGCCTGATGACTCTTCGCCTGATTCCACATATTCTGAAGCAGAATCCTCATCTTCATCAATTCGCATGAGCTCACTGATGTCGTAGGTCAATACTTCTCCGCTAGCATCTGCCAGCGCAATTTCTGGAAGGCGAGGCGCTATAAAATGTAGCCAGTGAGCAACAATCGATGCCTCGTCAGAACCTGGGAGCATGTAGCCCACACCTAGGTCAAACAAATGATGCGCATGTATACTAGGTAGATGCTCAGAGAGCAGATGCTTGAATGGAATGCAAAGCTGACGAAGGCGGGTGCAAGTATGGAGAAATGGAACCAGATTGCAGATGGAAACTGCTGCGAGATGGTCGGAGGGGATGAGGTGATCTGAATCGACCTTGATGGAGGTGAGATTCACCCATGCTGACGCCATTCTAGACACAACACTGGAGCACGGGGGGAAGAGTGGAAGTTGAATGGAGAGGTTCAGGCTGCAGAGAGAAAATTTGCTGGCAAGTGGCAGAAAACTTCGTAAGTCGTATGAGGGCTGGCTGGGCGCCGGAGGTGCAGCGCTGGCATCCAAGTTACAAAATAATATTTTAAGGTTTTTGAAAGACGCTGCGCAGCACAAGCGGCGGATTTGGCAAGCAATCTCGCCCAGTTCCCTTTCAGAGGGGGGGCTTTGAGAAATGCAAGCAGTGATATGTGTCACCTGGGGAAGATTCCCAATGCACTTGAAAAAATCAATAGCAAGACTGGTTTCGGCAACTTGAAGGTTCAGTCTTACCAGAGTTGGCAGTGATGGGATTGAATTAGAATGGAGACCGCGCAATGGAGACTCAAGGCGAATCTCCAGATGTCGCAGAGAGGGAAAGCATGCAATGCGGGAGAACGACAGCGGTGATAGGTATGCACAATCAATGCTAAGCACCCGCAAATTAGCATGGCGATTAGAATTAACAAATAGGCTGACGCTTGGCTCTTCTGGCACAAGCTGGCCATAAAGTTTCAATTTAAGGTGGACGACAGATGCCGCATTCTCCGATAAACGTGAAATGAAGTCGAGAACAGCAGCGGGATATCTATCCCTAGCATGAAACTCGATGAATAGAAACCGAAGGGTAGAGGAGGGAGAGGGAATGTAGCGCAGGAGATCTTCAAGAAATGGTCGCGGTCTCTTGATCTTGAGTACCAGGCGAGTTAAGAGCCGAAAAAGAGGTGTAAAAAGCAGCTGTTTCTCAATGGCAACCAGAATGCGGGGAATGGCGGCATGCTGCAAGACATAATCTTGGCCTTCCTCCCGGTCTGTTGAGTAATGAAGGGCTTTCATACATCTAGCATACTGGGAAAATGGTTTCCAAGCAGCAAGACCACGAGAGGAATTCAGAGGGATGGAAGATGCAAGCTATTGGGGCGTGGTGAAAAATCAGCAGCTTTGAATAGCTATTGTAAACTCACGGCTCTTCGCCACTGACTGCAGGGAACACAGCGGAGGAGAGGGCTAAGGCCTGACTGATACCTACGCCACAATATTCGCAAAGCTTCGGCCGAAAATGTTCTGCAAATTCACTTCAGTCACCCATTTTAGGGTACCTATGAGGTTATCCAATTCTTTGAAATAGGGAACCTTAGTGGTACCCCATTCCAGAGTGGTATGACCCTCATACCAATTCCATCATACCATGGTATGGATGCCACATACCATTCCACCTCATACCATACCATACCATACCATACCATTCCATTCCATCTCATACCATACCAAATCACCTCATACCATACCATACCATACCATACCATACCATACCATACCATACCATACCATACCATACCATACCATACCATACCATACCATACCATACCATACCATCATTCCAAAGCTGTCACAGGGTCTCTGGGGTCCTTTTTCCAAAATATGAAAAATATTTCTGCTGGCTGCAATTCTGGTCCATTGGGCTCCATTTTTTGTGGGCTGGTTCTTCCCATTTCTTCTGACATTTTCAGCTACAAATGGAGACTATAGGTTGAACTTGATCTAAACAATCAGCTTCATTAGGCTTTATCCCAGGTTTTAGCCATCCACTCTAAACCTGAAATAATCCATCACAAGCCACATGAAATCTTATATCTTTACAGACCAATTAATTTCAGTCAACAACAATGCAAGACTTCATTGGTTGCCAAGGGATCAACTTTAGCCAAAATTACCACTCTAGGCAAGCTCGTTAACAAATGTCTTTCTCTGTAATCAATTTTTTCAACAGGGTGACATTGATGATGATAATGTCACTGACCACTTGCCAACTGGACTTATAGTCATGTTGGAGAACAATGAAAATAATCACATGCAGATTGAATGGACAGCCATCCAGTTGTTTCTCAATCAACATGTGCATATGTGGTCATACAACAGTCGCACAATCAATGATGGATGGCTGTTGAAGACCCCCCACAGTTCTTCCACTCTTTGGTTTATGTGGAAGTTCTCCAACAGTAATTGACTCTTTAACTTACTCAGCTCCATTGTATTGTGTTGTCCTTTGCCCTTGTTCCTTTTTGAGTATGTGCCTAATACTACCTACCTACCAGCTCTATGATTTACCACCTATTGGCCATTCCTCCAACATGCATATAGAACAAACCACTTCACAATTGATTTTTAAATACTATAGGAATATAACATAGAGTTGGAATCATACCATACCATACTGTTGGAATAATACCATAGATATGGAATCATACCATGCCATACCATTGGAATGATACCATACTGATGGAATCATTACATACCATTCCATTCCAATAATACCATGGAGATGGAATCATACCATGCCATACCATTGGAATAATACCATAGAGATGGAATAATACCAGAGAGATGGTATCATACCATACCATACCGTTGGAATAATACCATAAAGATGGAATCATACCATACCATACCGTTGGAATAATACCATAGAGATGGAATCATACCATGCCATACCATGCCATACCATTGGAATGAAACCATACTGATGGAATCATACCATACCATTCCATTCCAATAATACCATGGAGATGGAATCATACCATGCCATACCATTGGAATAATACCATAGAGATGGAATCATACCATATCATTCCATTCCAATAATACCATGGAGATGGAATCATACCATACCAGACAATTGCAATAATACAATAGAGATGGGATCATACCATACAAATGGAATCATACCATACATCATACCATTCATACCATATGATTGACTTGTGATCATACCATCAATCATACCATACCATGGAAATGGAATATGGAATCATACCATCATACCATACCAAACAAAAGGAACCATACCACACCAAACATCAT